AAAGCGGTACCTTTTGGGGAATAGGCCAAGAAGTTTAAAAACTCCTTTTTGCTAACTTTATTCAACCAACCATCACTCATGAGAGTAATGCCTGTCCTTGGCCAACTCTGTTTATATTCTTCAATCCACTTTTTAACTTCCTCCACCTCTTCATCTAATATTGGTCCATTGAGCTCATATGTCATCAGGAGTTTTATCCCGTACTCGACTCTCTGGATTGCACTGACCATAGGTGGAAAATATGGGCTATTGGCTGCATCAAAGGGAATCCCTTTATCGTAGAACCATTTATCAACATATCTCTCTAACATGTTTCTTGTACCTTTAACCATATCTTTTAGGGTCATCTGTTGTGACTTAGGCTTTGAGAGAAATGGGTCTTTACGACCATGACTTGCAATACTGGCACTTCTAGGTAACTTAAAAACAATTTCTTCAACATCTGATTCTCCTTGATACATATTGCCACCAATCCTTCTATACATATTTGAGCTGGGCTTGCCATACATGCTCGAGCTGGGCCCGCCATGCATATCTGAGCTAGGCCCACCACCATGCATGTCTGAGCTAGACCCACCGGGCATTCTAAATCCACGTTCCCTCTGATATTGTTCATGTAAACTCAATTTTGTGGCCATGTCCAGCTCATTATTATATTGCTCTTCTGTATCATTCCTGCTTGTTGGTGTATATAAACTAGCTATCTCCTCATTCATCATATGTTTAGCAATTTTTTTACCTTTGTTAGCATTAAGAATTGCCGCCATCTGTTTTTTTACATTACTAGGGACACTAGTGCATGCAGAAACTTCTCCCTTAACCTCTACCAAGTGTTGCGTAAACGTATGTACCCCACTACTTATCACTCTTTGACAGTAATTACAAATAATTTTGTCTTTTTTGTTGGGATCAAGTCTGACCCCATGTTGCCATGCAGGGTCTTCTGCAGATCTTGACATGATTCAACTGTTTCAAGATGTAAAAAGTATAAAATTAACCTGACAGTTCGAAAAGAAAAGTAATCACCATGTGTAGTGATAATATGTTGCGGTAGTTCATGTAGTCATATTTGTTGTTATTTGTTATTGTAAAATACCTTTATTGACAATAATATTTTCATACATATCAATTACAAACATTCAGGATAATATAATACAAAATGTAAGCTCCAAACATAGCTACAACTCAATTATCAAGAACATACATTTTTTGCATTAAAAAATTAATAATAAAAACAATTCTTCACAGAGCCAGCTAACATCAGTCATTCCAACTAAAAAATCCATGAACAGCAGATAAAAAAAATACAGTTTTGCATTAAAAATATAATAACATGCATTTTTTTGCATGAATAATCTATCAACATACAATTTTTTCAACAAAAACTTTAACAATAAAAATTTAAAATATGGTTTAATACCTCATGATAATTAAAACCTTGTCACGATTTTCACATCTTTTCGGAAAATCATCATTTTTCAAAAAATTCGATCATGGAAAAAAAAAAAAAAAAAGTACACCAAACTCAAACAATAAAAATTAAAAATTGGGTTTAATACATCATGATAATCAAAACCGTACCACGATTTTCACATCTTTTCGGAAAATCATCATTTTTCAAAAAATTCGATCATGGATAAAAATAAATAAAAAAAAAAGTACAGCAAATTTTCAAAAAATTCGATCATGGAATACAAAAAAAAATTAA